GTATTATCATAGTTTTTAAAATTCTCAAATAATTATTCTTTGTGACGAGGACAGCGTACACTCAAAGTATCTCTCCATATAATTATGTGTAAGTACTAATAGATTATTATATAGATAGTAAGATCAATTTAAGGTCAAACAAGTTTCTATGAAGTCTCCTCTAGCTAACCAGGTGACATGTAAACAAAAAAGGTCATACTTGTGAACGATTTTCAATAACAATGACTGGTTCTACTTTCCAAGCTTTATTGATACAATAATACTTATTTATTCTCCCAGAAAAAAATATTTTCCACACATGGATATAATTAGAATACTTGTGGATAAAATCATTAAAACTTAATCAATGAATTTAAGGTTATTGCATTCCGAAAGAGGGTTGATGTCGGGCAGGCGGCCGGTCGTAAAAACAATTAGCCAAAACTATTCACAACATTTAAGGCAGACCCTGGCTAAAGCTGGGAAATTGCGAGGTAGAAGAAGAAATCAATTTAAGGTTATTACTAAACGCAATATAAGATTCTTGTTAAATATGAAAAGAAAGAAAATAAGAATAAATATTTTTAACATCTTAATGAGCCATTAGCAAACAAAAGAAAACAAAGTTCATTGACATGCTCAAGACTTTCTATTTCGATAACTAAGTATAGAATACTTTTTTCTTACTTATTTATAATTATCTGATGTACTAAATAATAACGCTCTTATCCCTTTAAAACTGAACTCTCTCTCATATACATACATATCAAATTAAGTATGATTTATGATTTTCTACAGTTTTTTTATTTAATTATCTCACAGTCCAGTATAACAGAGCATGTACATTTAAACGAGCAAACTCTTTTAGTATTCCACAAAATTTAATCACAAAATATCAATCATTACAAATTACTTTCATAAATCTTTCCAACAGAAATAGAATACAAACCATTTATTCTCAAATCAATTTTAATTGACATATGAAAGTGATGATTAACTATGCATTTTATCATCAAATATTTTTCATACAAAATTTTTGGCCTTTTTCACTCTTTATAGGGCGCTAAAAACGTGTCAAAAATTGCTGTAAAAATCGTGATGATGAAAAGACAATTAATAGTAAATAGCAATAAAAAAATTGTTATGAGTACTGTATGTAAATTAGATGATATTAGGATACATTTTATTTACATTACAAAAAAAAAAAATTCTATTTTATTTATACATAAGTATGCAGAAACATAATGAGCCTTATGAGGAAATCTAAAAACATTTAGTCATTTAAATAAATAACTTTATTTAATATAAATCACAATTATATTAACTAGCATAGTTTTAACTCTCTCTGTAAAGCAAATCTACAATCGCAGAAATGAATTGAGCTTGGAAAGTCAAGGCCGCGTTGTCCTTAAAACCGTTGTACTTTCCTCATCGGTCAATGAAAGTCTGATGCTCAAAATGTCGAGGATCTGTCTCTAAAAGAATGTCAAGCATCCAAAAGTGTATATTCATTGAAAAAAGTGTTATGTTATAAAAAATCTATCTTTTATAGTCTAATAAGCCACTTTCGTTTTTTGAGGTCGAATAAATTTGTCGCTTAGTAATTTTTACTAAGTTTTTCCTCATATATTATATGTAAATCCAAAAAAGGTAACAAAAAATTAATTAATATTAAGATTTTTTAATTGTATATAATAAAATAAATTAACTTAAAATCACGGTTCAGCAATTCGTATGTTAAAATTTCGTCTATTTACATTTCGGCGAAAATTGTTTTTGTTCACTTTCTATGTTAATGGCATTTCGTTTTAAGGTACTGGTAAGACATTAATTCATATACCTAATACTTACTTTTCGACATTAGAAGTTTTTTTCCAGAATATATTTTCCCTTCCCATTTTTTTTGTTACATTTTTGATTTTGTTACATGTACATGACAAATCATATTTTCATGATAATATTAATAAATGTATATTTTAATATACGTACATATAATATAATAACTATTTATATTTTATATAGATTATTATCATTAAAGAAGCTCTTACTAGGAGCAAAGTCTTAAGCCAAATAGATGATTGATGGATTTCGTTTTATATAAAACTAGTTTTAGCTCGCGACTTCGTCCGCGTCAGTTCCGGATTTAGTGATATATGTATAGCTAACAGGGCGAGCTCTATTCTGCCTTAGAGGCCGTAAATAACCAAACGTTGGATTCATTAAGTTTGTTTTTCGATGGAACAGAATTAAATATCCATTATCTTTCTTTTGGTACTAAGCTACCTCTCCACCAATTTTCAATCATATCCCTACAGCCGTTTTTGAGTTATAAATAGTGTAACTAAAACAACTTTCTTTTATATATATAGATATAATATTTTGAGATTCGTATTAAAGTAAAGTGTATTAAATAATAATATATCATTGTCAACAATAATATCCTGAATGTACTGTATCGGTAATAAGTCCTGGATTTGAAACCTGCTTTCTATGTGATAAGACTTTCTCTATCAGCACAATAACAAACGACAAACTTTACAGTATAACTATTTCAAAATAGTCTTAAAATGAAGTCGTACTAAAAAATTGTTGTACTTAGACGTGCAATTATTGAGTATTTCCAAAATTTAATTAAACAGAAAAAACTTACCTTAGTAGTTTTAAAACGACAAAGATTATAATAAATAAATTTTGCTATGATTTTTAGAATTATTTGAAATATTCAAATATTACAATGCTTAACTAATTCACTACAGATTGATACAAATATTCAGTAGAACTGTAAAACTGTTTTTTAACATTAAAGCATTTATTTTCTATTTATACATATTACGTTCTCATATTCAACTGTCACCGGTTCTTGACACAAAATCAGAGTTATTTAACTGTTTCAACATTAAACGAAAACAGTAGAATGCACGAAAGTATGAAATAGTGTTAAATATAGGGATTAATTTTACTTAAAGATAAAATGCAAATTTATTGAAAGGTCATTCATAAGGGTTAAAAAAGTAAGGAAATTTTTGCAAATAACACATATCTAATATTAAAAGTGATTATGATTTCAATGAATAATCAAAAAAAACGTCAAAATCTAGTAAACATATAAACTAATACAAACGAGTCTTATAAAATAAATTCTATTGTATTTTCATTATAGAGGTAAATTGAATTTGAATTACATACATATAAAGAGAACGTAAAACGCACTAAATAAACAAAACCAGTAGGATATAAAAAAATAATAATTTGATAACATATGTGTAAAAACATAGATATAAATGAAACATAAAAGAAGACTGTATATTCATTTCATTCCTAAAAAAATGTTCTTACTAGTGTTTACTATGAAGATTAGCTTCTATGTAGTTTTCAAATTATTTATATTTTATACATATCTTCCATATTTTATCTTAAACCATTTTAGCACAAATAAATAACATTTGTTAGAACGACATTGAATGTAAAACTCAAAATAGACTGAAGAGAAAATACATATGTAGATTTATAAGGAAAAGTTAGAACACTTCCCAATAAGCCATGAAGATATTAAGACCCGAATCACGTACATAATGAATGCTATCTTTTACAATGTATATCTATAAAGGAAGGTAAGTATATAAAGAATCAACAAACATGTAAGGAGGCACGCGCCAGGAAAGCGTAACGGATTTAATGCTTCGAATTCTGTACCAATTGATTCGTAAATTGGATAATTTAATATACTATAATGGTATATAATTTGTACTTATAAATTGATAAATGATCCCACTAAGGGTGTCATAGTAATGATAAGTGAAATAAAACTAACATTTTTCGGATTATACTACGTAATTATTTTTAAAAAAAATACGTCGGGTTAGAAGTATGAGAGTTTTAAAAAATAATGGAATATTCGTAGTATAATCTGAAAAATATTAGTTTCGTTAAGATAATACTCGCGAAAGTCTTAGATCTCATTAATAATTAGTTATTATTGATTTATGACCTACGTTATATATCATTCAGTCAATATTGTATATATACATATTATGTATAGATTTATATATTTGTTTGATAAAGAAGTTGCAAGTGGATATCTGTATACGGCACCGTTTCTTCATATAAGGGAATGGATGATGAATTCAATAAACAAGTTTAATGTAAGTTTACTGCAAAGTATGTCTGTCGGTCAGTCCAGTCTAACTTGTAATAAAAGTCAACGTGTAAAAGGTCTTCCTAACATTTTATTACCGTCTTTTTTTACATGACCCAAACAAAACAACAAAGCTACATAAATTTTGATTTAAAATTATAGAGATGCATGATTTTATGGTGTAATTCGAAAGTAGAAAATTTTATGAGCTTTATCTAATTGGATAGTATGCCCTTTCGAAGATAATGGCTTTTAAACTTCGTAAAAGGTAACAATAGGCCGTGAGAATTCTGTTTTTATATATGTGGTTTACCAAATGAAGTAAATTTTTAGAAACTCATACTATATATGAAGATGGTGCATGTTTTATTTTCATAATATTATTATATGGAACATTCGACATATTTCATTTATTCTAACCTCATTGAGTGTATTGCATGCTTATCCTTATGTTAGTAACAAGTTTTAAAACATGTATTATGGATTTCCAGTGTTTTTCTAGCTTATTATAAAAGCATCATTCTATATATTAAAACAGAAAAGAACTAATTATGAAGCATTTCATTTAGAAAGCTACAATAATACAACCATAATATTTTACGTATTGTTTAAAAAAGAAAAAAATAATTATCTAAATTATGTATAAAATAACCGGTTTTCTCTTTCCAGATGAAATGTCAGCTGTTTTCTACCAAAACACTGTCTTGAGACTGACAAGGGACACGGTGACAGACAATTGATGGCACACTTTCGACCTCAATACCAAAGGTTCCAGTGAAAATGGAATTAATGAATACACGCTCAAGTAGATACACTGATGTTCTTAGTTTTTGAAGAGATATTTAAATGAGAAAAATACATTGTTTATATTAGTAATGATCTGACAATGGCAAGAAGACATACCAACAGTTGTGTGTACGCGAGAAGTTTTTGGACCAAAACTTTAACGGTTCATAATATAGGCGTAGTTATTTTAGTTTTAGTATCAATAGTAGTAACTAATTGTCACAATGAAACGAGAGAAGACGTTAAAGGAATCGAAGACGAAATACCTAAGAAATTAAAGATTATAGAAGCAGTGGCTGGAAGAGGATTTTTGGGTGATGTTTATCAAAACGGGACATTTAATACTGGGAACGGATTGTGGGACAATATATTGAATAAGTGTACAGTAAAACCAACAGTGAGTTGTTTGCAAAAGAATTTTTACTCGTATTTAGACGAGAGTTTAGATTTTAACGGTGACGTTAATGTTGGTAGTGGTGTGTGTTTTAAAAAGAATAATGTGGATATGAACAAATACAGTAAGGAAGCTAATATTATCTACCTCACTGGGAGTAAAGATTATGACGAGAGGTCATTCGATGAAGAGAATGAAATCAACGATGATGATTCTGGTGAGTAAAGATTATGTTGAAAACTTATTAAATCACTTAATTTATTTTATTTTTAATTTATAGAACTCGTAGTATTTTAAAAATCCAGAACTTTATGTATTAATTATAATACGTAAGCAACCCATTTCACGGTAAAATATATCTATTTATCTAGTAGGAAAACTATTCTTATTTATAACATTATTGAGGACGCATAATATGTAAAATTTATACAACTAGTAGAAACTCATATTCTAGACACAACGGGGTGGAAAGTAACGACAAAGCTTGAAGATATATTTAAACAGACAATAGAACATTTCTTCATTTATGCTACATACATCCGTGATGCGGCTTAGAAAATCCGGTTGACCATTTTCAATGTTAATTTTAGCCGCAAATATACAATACTGCTTAAGAATAAACTGTGTTGCTAGTAGTATGCAAACAATTAATAATTACAACTTAAATTTTATATCGCATGTTTTGAGAGCTTTCGTCCTTTTGAAAAATTTCTAACCAACATTTTTAATCAATACAATGTTCAAATTATACTCTTGCGTTAATTGATAGAAATAATAAATTTATTATAATTTATTATTTTATTGAATCCATATATATCACATATCTCACAAATTTATATCCGAACTATAGTCCAATTTTTCTATGTATTTTTTATTTAGTTGATAAGATAACACTTTTTTTTGAGGTCGTGGAGGCCTAGAGTTTAAAGGGCCACTTCTCGATCATGAGGGCACAGGTTCGAAACCTGACAAGTGCCAATGTGATTTTTCCTGTTCATATGTACTTGTAATTAAATAAAATGCTATAATATACTTCGTATTTGTAATTAAATTAAATTAAATCTGCACTTATAATTTCAAATTATAAGTTTGTAATCACCGACCCGCTTTGAGCAATCGTGGTGATTAATGTTCAAACCTTCTCCATGAGAGAAAGAGGCCTTTGCTCAGCAGTGGGCCCTGATAGGCTGATGATGATAATGAACACATATTTTATATGAGATTTGTTTGTAACTAAGAACTGTATTAACGTATGGTAAAAATTAATTATTAAGTCATCGAATCAAAAGAAGTTTATTTCAAATTATCCAATGGCAAATTTTTTTATGGCCTTTTATTTATTACGGACTGACAGGTAATTCATATTTTAAAGTTTCTCTATCATTATAAATCGTTTTTAACCATGAATATTTTTGTGATTACGTTTTAATATCACTATTTAAACGCAGAGCTCGATCTATAATTTTGTGACTTTAGGTTTATGGTACGTATCCATATTAATATAATATCAAAGAGTTTTTTTTTTTACTCTACTCTCTTAATCTACTTTCAAGAAACAAGTAAACAACGTTTAACATTATAATAATTTAATCATTTTGGTACATATATAGATACACTTAATTTAAAAGAATTATGATTTTTTGGTATAAGAATTGTCCTTTTTAAAGTATTCTTAAGAATAGGATTTTTTCGTCATCGTAGCATTTAGTTTAAGTTTTAAGCATTTTATTATATTAAAGATATAACATGTAATTTAACTGTGCATTCTGTATGACGACAAGATCATAAACAATACCGTTAGAATGAACTCTATATGAGTTCTATATGTTTTTCTTATATTAATTTAAATTATTATCATAATCATCACATTAAAACTACTTTTACTTCTTTATCTATTTCTGATCTGAATAAGTGTGAACTTACTGTTAAAATTATTTTGTTAATGTAGTTAAATACACTCATTTTTGTTACTGAAATATATCCTCTATATGTTACTTAAAACTTAATACTAAAATTATAAAAGTTAGTAACGCTAGCGTCTTAACTATCTACTTCAGTAAACGAAATTATTTTATTTTATTTATTTATTTCGGTAATCTCAAGGAAAATCTTTAGGAGGTTAAGTTTGGCTATAAAAAGGTTTGAATTACCTACATATAAGTAGGTTTAGTTTTTTATTTTGTAAAACTGTATTTATGCCATATACATAAAATAAAATTAAAATGTTACGTATTATTATTAGTATGTATATCTGATATGTAAAAAGTTGACGGACAAGTACCGTCTTTCACTCAACTTACACTTTTCATGATGTTCCACGATCTACTTATATTGTTTAAGCATTGCTTCGCTTGCTTATCATAGTATTGATTTTTTATTAAAATATTAGAGAAAATGTTCACAAGACTATTCTCAGTTGCAGCAAACATTATGAATCAATAACGGAAGAGAAATGTATGAAAAGAAAGGCTAAGTGGTGTCAGGTTTCCGTGTTTCTCTTTCTTAATTTTCTTTCAATAAATCATTTGTTTTTTATAAACTTTATGAATCAAGTAATTTTATAAATAAAAAAAACATGTAATTGCAAAACCCAAATTTTAACGCTTAGATATTGGCGGCACTAAAAAATCTTGAGCTTGATATCTTTAGTAGTTATTTTTGGACACAAAACATTAAATTATTCCAGAAACCACAAAAGTAACAATATCTCTTGAGATAATAATTTTGTGTTCAACTTTTTTTTCTCAAAATATTACAGCTGGGGATTAGAAATAAAACGGGATAAAATGCACTGATTGTTTTAAACTACGTTTTGGTCACTGATTACGACCGCATTTACTAAGGAATTGTTATTAAACAGACGTGTACAGTTTTCATTAAAATATAGATATATGGTACCCAATCAGCAGTATCAACTTTTATTTGATATGAAAGAGTTCTAAAGAAATACGATTGCTATTTTATCATTGCAGAGAAAATATACAGGATTTCAAAAAAAAAATAGAATAGGTGCTATTCTATGTATTTGAATTACATTGTACGAAAGTTTTATTCACGAATTAAAAAGCAAAACACATACATACATCAGTCGAAATAATGCTATGCATTTATAATATACGAATAATTTTTCATCAAAGTCTTATTTACACATAAATTTAATAATTTAATCGAAAAGTTTTATTAGATTATATTTTTGGGGCATCCTTACTCTAATCTAAAGGTAACTGCAATATTTGCTATTAGAAACTAAAATTGTGCAAGCATATACAAAAAAAAAAAAAGAACTGTTGGCCATTTCGTGAAACGGTGTCATCAAAGTTATTTGGATATACCATATTTTCGCATGAAAATTTTTCACATATCACAATGTAACAACTTGTTAAGATTGTTAACTTCCGACAAAATAATTTTTATATCTCGCTGATAGCAAAATTGTCTCATCAGTTTTTGGAGCGGAACTCTCAAAATATTTTACTGTTATTTGTCATTTCGTATGTATGTATTTTAACGGAAGACTCGGTTGCATAATGACAATATTATTGCACAAAACACATTCATTGTTTGAATTTAATTTTTAGAGCGCAAGAAAAAAATGTGTCTGATGCTAGTTTTTCATTTTGTGATCTCAGTGAAGAGTAAATGTTAGAGATTTTGTAACGTATTAGTTTTATACGCTTGAATTATCTGGTTATATTTAATTTAACGAAAGACTTAACTTTTCTTTAAAAATAACGAATCAGAATGAAAAGAAATGAAAAATATTACTACCGATTTTCCACACTTCAAACTTAAACAAAACTTGTGTAATCATTTCAGAAAATAAATTAATGAAACCTTATCAGAAAATATTAGTAAGGTTACTTTTTATTAACAACTAATTATTTATCTTATTTTATTCTGAGTGCCTCAATACTCCATACTAGTTAAAGAAATATTGCTCTCAAACCGAAATAATGCCACTGAATAGACGGTGTGTGCTAAACATTTTTATGAATCTAAGTTTATAGTTGTTCACGTAGTTTAAATGACGCTTTTGAGTCAAAAACAGTGATTTAAAGTATAACAATATGTACATTATAATTATATGTAAAAAAATCATAATAAAAAGTTTAAAACTACTAATGTTCTTGTACGTAGATGTAAAAAAATAAAAGCTTAATAAATGTTTGAATAAAAACAAAAAAAAGAACATCTCGTTTGCCCCTGATCACGGTTGCTATAAAATAACCGAAATACCGGGAGTATGTAGTTTATAATAAAAAATAAAAAATCACGAAGTAAATCTGAAAATATTAGTTTCATTTAAATGAATAGTCGCGAAAATCTTAGATAAAAAAAACAATTTAAAGTGAATTTGGGTTTGAATTAAAGGTAGTATTTATGAATTTTTCATCATCATCATCATCAGGCTATCAGAGGCTACTGCTGAGCAAAGGCCCCTTCTCACATGGAAAAGGTTTGATCATTAACCACCACGCTTGCTCAAGAAGGGTTGGCGATTTTAAACTTATAATTTGAAATGATAAGTCCAGGTTTACTCATGATGTTTTCATTCACCGTCTGTCAGAGGTGTTTAAAAAATGTTAGAAAGAACGTCTGACACAAAAAATCATATTGATACTTGCCAGGTTACGAACCCTCGCCCTCATGTATGATGAGAGACAGGCCTTTAACCTCTAGGCCACCACGACTTTCTTATAGGCAAAGTTAAAATATTCCAGTGGTAGCAACATGGTCTTAATATACTTTTAAGTTATATGACAATTTGAAAACATCCATAATAACCATTTGTAGATAATTGTTTTTGATTGTAGGGTTATTTTTGTATTACAAATTTATTAAAGTCAATTATATATAAGTAATTATGTATAAGTAACATTTTTGTCCTAAGGTTTGTTTAGGTTTTTTAGGCTTCATCTGAAAACACATCCTTTAATATAATATATAAATATAAAACATACATAGATGTGATGAATACAATTACAAAATTTAGTTAAACTTAAAAATACTCTTAGCGTTAGTCTAAACCAATTAGCTCAAAAGAAAAAATAACATTCATACTTTATTAAATTTATTATGCTAATTTATTTCCCTTACATAATTTTCTTAGAAACACCGTTAGAGGAAGTAACTGATGCTTTATATGGTAAAGGAGTTAAATTCCTAATGACCCACGATATGAAGATAGAACTACCTGAGCTTATGTTCGATGGAGCGACACTAAAAGTATCTCCAAGGGCATTGACTAAGACGGGAGCTTTAGTTCATATTGACTTAGAACCAAAACATAGTAACGGAGATGGCAGAATATTTATAAATAAAATAAGTAAGTATATTCTTCTATACATTTCTATTTCTATTGTTATATCATACAATAATTAGAATATCGTTTGTTGTCCAAATTTACTTTAAATGTTTTAAACTAAATTAAACAAAATAAAGGAAATATATTACTAATATATAAAATAAGATATTTATCTAATAAATAAAGAAATTATTATTGTTTTTACATAACAAAACTTTATAAGAACACAATTCCATTCTTCTTTTAAATCATTCATCAAATCATAATTATGTTATAAAATATATCCTTATTTTCAGAAAAATACGTAAAAAAGAAACTTGTAATGGCTGCCTTGGCTATCATATTAGTTATTAAACTAATCGCATTGAAGTTGGTATTCGTGCTGCCTGTCATACTCGGAGTGACCACAGCTAAGAAAATGTTCCTAAAAGTACTGCTCTTCCTATTCCCAGCGTTGAGTCATATATTTAAACTGTGTTCGTGGTATCACCAGAACTATCACACAACGAAATATCATCACCATCATCATTTAATAACACATCATCACAAGGTATGATCATATCAAGTGCATCGGTTATTTTTGTTGGAATTCCTTTATTTTAGTCTTTCTTCTGTCCTTAATCCAGGTTCCTCATGGCCCTCCAGCTCATGTATACGGCCCACCACATGGTGCAGTGATTGTCAAACCACACGAAACCCACAGCCCTTCCTTCGAACATTATCCTCAAGATTGGGAACTATCTGGTCCCGGTCTTGGAAGCGAGTAAGTGAATAAAGCTTAATTTTTTGATCATCAGTAACATTAAAATACTATTTTTATATTGTAAAAATGTAAAATATAATTTTAATTATTTCAGGTACTTATCTGATATCCATCGTAACGCCATAGCAAGCTTTAAACCACACGAAAATGACGTGAACGATATCAATTCCTGGGGTCTCGGTCTTCCAGGTAAGTTAACTTTTAATAAACATTAACATAACAATGAATTATGTATATGAATCTTATATTTTTTTATCCAGCAAATTCTCTTAATATTGGAGAATACGCGAGTCCCAGCAATGCTGTACCAAACACCATACCCCACCCTAATTCTGGACAAAAAAATGTTATAAGCAATGGAAGGTATGTTTCTTTTTGTTTTCTCATTTGTATAACTTTTGTTATGTTGTTAACTTACCGATCTTTTCACAGACCCGTTGGACCACTTCAAGTAAATCCATATTATAGAAATAAAAAAACTTCTCAACGTGATCCTTCTCAAGCAGAGAAGGAAGCCTTGGTACGTTAATTTTTAGATATTCATTTGATAACTGTAGCTATTTTAATATAGATTCTTATACAAACAAAAGTTATTTACATATTAAACCATGTTTTTGTTAGAACAAAAACAGAGACCAATATCTTCTTGCAAATATAAGGATATAGAATGGTGGAAGGGAAAATTAAATTTTGTGAAGCAGAATATTTAACTCAAACATTTTCTTAGATTCGAGCTGCGGCACTGGCAGCCAAAGCACCGGCTTCTCCCGTTCGAGACGAATTGATCAGAGTATCAACAGCAAAACTAACTGAAAGCAACCGCGTGAAGGCTGAGACGGAGTTGGTAAAACAACAGCAAGAAATACTCGCAGCACAAGATCCAGTGAGTATAGTCCCTAAAACTTTTTTTGACAGTTCTACTTGAGAATAATCCTTACCACACATGACATGACTTAAAAGTCAAGATCGTTTAAATTTTAAATAAATCATTAATAGTCACATTTTATTTTAGTAGTTTCCCTGTGGTTCCGTATACAAATGGTTATACGGGACTATATTAAGAAAACTTGTTCGTACATCTGTCACCAAACTACATATATCTCATGAACCATACTAGTTAAATGGTTGAAATTTTCAATAAATTCAAACTAATTTTAAGTACAACTCGACTTTTCTTTATCTCTATCCTTTCAATTCTGTATATATATATGATGTTACGATGAATTTGTGTTCCAGGAGACGATAGCGGCAGAGAAATTCTATGGAACTCTCATAGACAGAATTAACATAATACTCAATTCTATTGGTGCAAAGGACTTTGGTTGCCGTGAAAGAGCCATCTGCGCTCTATACAGTGACCCCTTTAAACACGCGCCGTACAGCAATCTAGTGTCTAATGAGCTAAGCAAGTGAGTATTCAATTAATTCCTTTCATGTTTTTTATGCATATTTGGAATTTAATACCATATATATTATATATTTTAAGTATCTCAAACTTTACCGTTTTAGGCAAAAAACTTTAAAATCTAGAAAAAGTTTTCTTTTATTTTTCCAATTAATTTCATTTTTTATGTATTTACATAAATTTGTTTTTGATCTATATATCATACATATATACACACAAATTTAATATGTCAAAAAATTAAAAGTTTTCGTATTCTAACATTAAATCTACCTGTAAATATCAAGGTGAAAGCAAATTTTAATTAATGATTAATAATTTTCAGAGATTCCAATGAACTTGTACCACCAGCTGACAGCAAAATGGCGCTTCACTATTTCAGATATGTCCAAGCGGCCAGAGACGGTCAAGAATCCAAAAACTGTGTAGAAATATATCAAAAATGTAACATTGATTACAACAAGAAATAATCTACAATGAATATACTTCAGTAAAGCATATATATGTAGTTGTATATGCTAAAATAATATTTTTCAATGGAATCGAGTTTAAACTTTATTTTTTTGAACGAAGAACTTCAAACTTTATTCCATACAAAGAATATGATGTATAAACAGATTAATGCATTTAATACATACAGATTAAATTATTTTTAATAATAATAATTAAAACTATTTTATTTAAGTCATATTATTTATTTTCATATATTTATGGCTATTTATGTTAATGAATCTTGTAAAAGGAATATATATTTATGAGTTTATTGTAATGGATTAGATATTAAATTATTGGTTTGTGAAAACATGTCGATTGAACATTTTTCAAGAGCAGATTTCCTGTAATTATAATAAAATGAAAATGAAATATTATTTCATGAATGTAAATTCTTTATTTCTTTATAAGAATTTCTTTCTGTCAACTTATTTATTTATAGAAAAGCCATCAAGTCATTAGGACGTTGTGTAAATAGGGAATAATTTTTGTTTTTAAACTATAATAAAAATCATCATTTTATTTTATAATACGAAGTTTTATTACATAGAGCAATTGTGTTGATAACAAACGAAATGAATAAAAGCCATGGTGCATGTGTGTGTGTATATGTGTGTGTGTGTGTGTTTGTATGTGTATTACTAAAGAGAAATAATAATTACATACATAAATATATAAAATTTAATAAAAATTCTTTATTTATAATGCTGGATTTTTCACATTTGTTATATAATAATTATTGATGAATTTATAAAAAACTTTTTAATCATAAGGTGGCTCCCAACCTGACTGTCTTCCTAGTTTTAAATAATTTGGTATTTTATATTTTCCCGTTGAATACGGAGCTCTTCCTCGAGGATGATGAAATCTTTTGTCGGCCCAAACAGGCCTTTTGTTTAATCTATAACAATCGAACAGCCAGTCTAATATAAAGTGATTATCAAGTATTGTAAAGTAGTGTAACAATTCCATTGATCTGAGAGTGGATGAGAATGCTCCAAGACCTATAAGACCATCGTATCTCCACGTACGACCTTGAAATGCCCTATGTAAAACCGCACCACTCTCAATACCATACCTCAAGTAGTTTACACCTATGCATAGAAACCAACCCCATTCCGACTGAAACATTAATAAAATTTAGCAATTAAAATCATTTATTATTTGAAATATGAATGAACTTTTATATAATATATCAAGTGTAAAAAATATATATGTCTTTAAGTGTCAATTACAATTTCGTTTTTAATTTTATCTAAACAAAACATTCGTCAATCGTATATAAATTTTACAAAAAATAAAATGGTATAATAAAATTTCATCTTTTTTGTCCAAAATAGTCTCAAATCCTTGTTAAATAGTCACTAACTGGTGACTTCATTATGCATAGTCTAAGATTATGTCCATTTTCACACTACATACGAACCCTTTCCCGTTTTTTATCCAATAATGGATAATACTATGATTTGCGAACATTTATTAATGAAAACTTTTATTGCACCATATTTAGCGTGACAATGACAACTTAAACTATTGGAGTGTTCTATTAATAATAATTAATTGGCCGAACCATAAGTTGCATTCAAAGACTTAAGATACTTTATAATGTTAACAACACTAATATGTTCTTAGTTAATTATATTTTTTTTGTACATGCTCTGACGTCATTGAGATAAAGAGTACGTACCTTCGGACAAAGTTTTCTATTTCCCGTCCGTAATCCATATTTAAACCAGGGCATCGGTTTGCGTTTGTAAGCATACATGAATTGGAAGCCAACGATAATAAAAAGTTCCAGTGAGGGGTATGTAGCGGCCTGTTGGTCTTGCCTAAAAAACGACGATTTATAATTGAGATACGGTTGTCTCAATTTAAATTTAATAATATAAGTATCGAATATTATATATTTACGGATGAGAAGTTGCTCTTGCACACGTGTGAGTACTAGCGCCATTGAAGTACCATCCAAAAACATTATGTGTACTTGTCCACACAGCTAGATCAAAAGTAAAAGAGAACGGGTGTGATATATTTACATCCTCTGGATAGTGCCACTGTAAATAAGAGACGAAACCTCTTAGCATTCAATGGATTCACCGTGCTGGTACCGGGTCCATCGCGTTGCAGGGAGAGGAGCTTCAACAGTGCCTGGGAACTGGGACCCAGGTGTAGGTTAAAGGCCCCTATCTAAGGCGCGTTAAACTTTCACCTCCACTGTATTTCCGTTAAAATATCGAAGTATTTATAAAGAAAAACATAAAAAATATATTACTAACCAAGGGATGATAGAAAATCTGAGCGGGTGTCAAATACATTGAACTGTTAAATACGTCGTGATTTGTATCGTACCAGACCCCCAAGATGTTCTCCAAATGGGGATAATGGTAGCGGCCTTTCATAATAAGATGTGTGGATGTTGCTGTCGTGAGAACATGTCGTGTAGTTATGACCGCACATCCCCCAAGTAGAGTTAATCTTTTGTATACTGTATTGCAATAACAGCCAGCATTCTCCATACCTTCCTGCAATCGTAAGAATTTATTCAATAGCAATCTTGTCATGATAACATCAAAGACTTTGATATGTGTTCTTTTAAATGAAACTAAACTTGTCCCATACTAGGCGTTTTTTATTATTTTGTAAATACATAATATTGAAATTTTAAATCTTTTTCAGCATTTTTTATCTCGTCGCTACGTGATAACGATTGCTTTTTTTTTATTATTTTTTTTTTTTTGTTTCCCAGAGGAAATCTGCTCACAGATACCCGGCCGACCACGGACTTGACCGAACTATATGGGGGTGGGTTTACCGACCCACTAAAACCCTTGGGTGTTCCTCTTCTACTAAAAACTTAGTTGCTTATTTAAACAATCCTGTTATATTTCTGTCACTTATTTCATTATTATTTAATTTATTATCTTTCTACTGTATTATTGAAATGCCATTCTATTACAATTATACATATTACATGACAAAACATAAAATGTTTGTATGTTGTACATATATCACTGTCTCTGGTACTGTACAAAATTACCTTATGAAGTTTAAGTTGACTATGCATTTGATTATATGTGAATAGAAATTTCAGATAGCTTAGAGAGACTTATAGGGAATACAGAAATCATATAACGGTTCAGAGCAATAGACAAATCAAGAATAGACAAGATAAGAATATTCCCAAAGAGGGTTGATGTCAGGCAGGCGGCCGGTCGTAAAAAGAATTAGACAAAAAACTCTTTACAACATGTTCGGCAGACCTTGGCTAAAGCTTGGAAATTGCCAGGAAGAAGAAGAAACAAGGTAAGAATAAACAGGCAATTCAGAGTTATAGGCAAGGATAGACGTGTTAGATAAAAAAAAACTTACCCTATGCCACTTCGAACCTACAGCTTTCACATGAGGTGACATTCTATAAGGACGATTCTGTTCCTTAAAGTTTCCTGCATGCGGCAAAAAAAATGGTTCCTCTATACGAAAATCTGGTGATTCAAAGGACTGCGGTATTTTATCCTCTGTATCATGAATATGAAGTGAATGAGGTGATGTATAACGATGAGGGTCGTGCTGTTTTTCTATGGCTGGCGCATCCCATCTTACTTCTTGCCTCCTCGACAACGATGGAATGAATTTTATACACAATATTAAGTACCTGAAAACATATATATTTGGTACGTCACTATTATCTTACATTTGGAATACTAATAATTAATTAATATTAATTAAACTAAATAAGAGCCTAATTTTATTTTCAGTATGCAATGAAGTTATATCTTTCAAGCCCGCATAGCATTGTACATTACAATTAATCATATTATTTATCTCTTCGTAAAAAATGCTTTAAAAAATATTAGATTCCTGCTTAGATCAATGTTATATGACATTTATTAGAACGGTATAAATGTAATATTCTTTTTATTGTTAGGCCCAAAATTATAAATTAATATGAAAAATCCATCGAGACAATAAAGTTCTTATAACACGTCATTAATCTAACATAAATTATGGAAAAGAAATAATAAATAAAAATAATATTTCTTTTCTACGATACTATTCAAACTTAATATCAATTTATAACATTATTATTTTCTTAAAATTTTAAATAAAGAAATAATTATACAATTACCTAAACAATCTCATTTCTGATCTCTAACACCTCTGTGTCAAAATATCCTGAACACATCGTTATATCAATTCATTTTTCACTGTGATGCCATAATAAAAAATATTTGCCCTATTCAGGGGAAGCTTGGCTCTCTATTGCATATTACTTGATTATAAAGTTTTAAAATCCCTGTTTAATTTCTTAAATGTCAAAAACCAGTATTAAAGTAATTGCCTATCAAATAAAACCTCATAATAATTGTGAAAAAAAGGAATGTACTTTTTTGAGTAATTGATGTTAGCCGAACTGGCAACACCATTATTTGTTTGTTTCCCTTTCCCGGCATGTATTTGTACGCAGTTGTCTTTGCTAAAGTATTTAAAAAATGTTAGTTTTCATGATATTTTCAGGTTCTATGTAATAAACAATACTCATTTGTTATTACATAGAAACTCATACATATTTGAAAATAAATTATTATTATTCGCTTAAAAAAAATGATTACTACCAAACTCTAACCAAAATAACGAAGGTAATGTTTTCTGGTCTGTATGAGAAATTCCCTTTCAGTTAATCTATACTAATATTAAAAAGAGAAAAACTGTGTTTGTTTGGTTGTAATGAATAGGCTCAAAACTACTGGACCAATTATGAAAATTCTTTCACCATTTGAACATATGTAACATATGCTAGGATTTACTTAAACAAAAATTGGATTCCTTTACATAGTTAACTTTTTAGGACACATAGCCTTAAATATATAACCCTAAAATGTTCTAATTAATTGAAGATCTCATAATTATCTACGCTATAGGCTGTATTTATTAATAAAATTAGAGATTCGTAAAACAATAGCTTATTTGTAGCCCAACGTATAAAATTGAAAACAGCTATATATGTATAATATACGTGCACCGCAAAAACTATGGACAGTACAACAAAATAATGTACCATGGTTGTATAGGTCAAATTAAGATATAGAAAATTGTCTACGAGTTTTAGTATCTAAGCATCATAGTTTAGTCACAATTTCTGCTTATGTGCTAAAAAGAATATTAAATTGTTTGAAAAAAGAAACTACTTTAAATGTATATTAATATTAATGATTATTATTATCCAACTGAAGCATTAGCTTATCAAGAACATTTATTTTAAAGTGGAATACGTTTTGTTTCATCCCAATCGGATATTTCGTTTGGAAGTTATAACGAGTATAAAACGCCTAGAATTGTTATCTAATAATTAATTATTTTCCAAAGAGTTTTATCAATATATTAAACCTAATATTAAACTGAAGTATTTCATTGTTATCAAAATTGCCATTGAAATCATGAAATAACTTAATTACAATCAAGAACTTAAAATAGTATCCTTACTAATATCAAAAATGCAAAAGAAACTCTGTCTGCCTGTGACGTTTTAAAGCCTAAACCGCTGAATCGATTTTGATGAATTTTGGTATAACGATATATCATATATAGAATCTTGAAAAAGTATATATGCTGACTTTTTTTCTTAATCCCGAATCCCGACAACAATACTACAAGAGTACATGGAACATATATACTATGTAACCATGACGTTTAATTCTAATTCAGTGGCCGCAGTGTCAGAAAACAACTCTGATACTCACGCGGACGAAATCGCGGGCAAGAGCTAGTCACTAACAAATTGACGGATTAAATTTTGTATCTGACATGTTTCTGAAATAAATATATCACATAATATAAAGTTACACTCAGAAAAATATTATTTCAGGTGACATGTCACAAGTCACTTACAAAAATAAATAATAACTTTTCCTCTATACTTAGTTTTCTTTTACCAAACACTATCATTACATTCAGTTTCTATAATATATGTTTTATCAATATTGAATTATTGTTTTATCTCCCATGACGTTAGAAGTGGTCTTTTTGATAAAAGTAGCATTGGCCCTTTACAAGTTCTCTACCGATAAGGTCAACTACATTGAACTAAGTTCAGTAACAAAAGAGGACCCAGATAGTAGTTACTATATGATATTTACTTTAGAACTTCTAAAACAATAATTTTTAAAAGATTTTCGTTACCACGATTATATTTATTTTTTTATATTACATACATATGTCATTAAAATTTGATAATTGTTGACCACATAATAAGAGTTATAAGCGATTTATAAATATTTAATACATATATTTTCTTTATTAATGAAGGAAGCATAGCTTTAAAAATTAAAATTCATCCTGCAACTATTATATAAGTCCACGTTTTAGAATTTTTAAATTTGAACTAAAACTTTTATAATTTAAATTAAACTACTGAATGTTTTATCCTTAATCTAATCAACTGTAAATGTTTTGAATCTTACCGTAAACCTTTTCAACAGTTCATAAACAATGGAAATCTTAGACGCAATGCTGGTGTTTTCACTTCTATCGGTACGCATTTTTTGTGTTCTAAATAATATTTCTGGAATAACTGACATAGTTATAATCGTAATTATTTTATATTATATCAGTTTACAAATTATATAATATATTTTTTGTTTACAGACAATGAAAGCTGAGTTTTTAGTCAGCAATGTCAGAAACAAAAGAGCCAATCAGGACAATTTCGATGTGCTATTAAATATTTATAAAATGAATCCTTTGCGTGAATCGAACGTGTTCAGAACATTTTCAAATCGAATACTTTTACCGCGTCCGGAACAACATGGTGACATGAATATAAATACAAAAGAAAGTGGGAAAGAGAAACAAAACGGAATTAATTCTAAAAGGCGATACGGTGAAATCTTTCATTATTCTAAACCAAGCAAATTAGACGTAGTTCCTTTAAATGTAGATAAAATAAAAGCTGAAAAATTCGAGCCGGATGATTTCCTAGATAACTTATTATCTTTAAATCAAATTACTAATGATGAGAAAAGGGATGATGATAATGATATCTTTCAAAATAACCTACAGAAATACGGATCAAACCAACTGATCAAAGATGATATTTTTAATGAAAATACTAATAAAATGTTACCGAGAAAAAAAAGTGTCCACGACAAACAACGTTATCGACAAAACGAAGTAGTAATAGGTTGAATAGATATAATTTTACATTTTAAACATAAGCCATAACATAATTTAATATTAAAATGAATGTATGTACCGAGTATAATTTCATTTAATTCAGTTACATGTTATATTTGAAACGTTGAAATAAAACACGTTTTTATAATTGAAACTTAAATAATAGAGTTTTATTTACAATAATAATAAATAATTTAAATAAATAAATTAGTCAGAGGTCCGCTGTAAACATAGTATGTCTCAAATTAGATTTGGCCAGAGTAAGCGATTTCGTGGGCGTCTTCGTATGATCTGGCTTGGTATGGTCCGTGAGCATCCCAACCTGGGGCGTGGTGGTCTACATGATGCTCAACATGATGCTGAGGATAGTGAATAACTTCGTAATTCACAACCTTTGGCTTAGTGAACTTGAAGATGACCATGGCACCTGTAATACAAATATGATGAGAATGAGATTCATTTATTCTCAATTTTTGCTGTTTATTGCATTCTTTATGAATGAACCACTCACCAGATAACACAAGAGAAATAAGACCAAGAGTGAGAGCTTTCCATGTCTTGAGAGCAATGAGGGCAAGTGCAAGTGGAACGAGAACTGAAGCCTTGAACTTCAAACCGAGGAGGAAGGGAAGCAACACCTTCTTGATGAAGCCGTGTTCTAGAAAAAAATATAATTAATATTACAAATCAATATTATATATAATCAATTTGAAATTGTAAACACGTACTGCTCTTGATTCTCAAAGGCTTGGGGAGCTTGATCTTCTTCTTCCTTCCTTCGAAAGTCTCAACTTCCTCCTCTCCGTCCAAGGGCATGTCTAACTCTGAAGGTAGGTCAGCTAGAAGCGACCTTGGCACATACTCTGATGCTGCGCTATTGGAAATCTCTTCAGGTACTTTCACTTTCAAGGAATGCGTTTGAATGAATTGGTCCACTTTGTCGATTATGGCATAAACGGGTTCTTTAGCCATCCTTGGATCAGCTCCCTCATCTTCAATGTCAGAAGTCTTGTAGATAGATAAATTATCGGTTATTTTAATCTCATCATCGTGCGCTACTCGGGAAATCCATTCCAGGGTCCTCGGCTTCACACACTCCACCGAATATTGGCTCAGGCATTCATTATAGATGTTTCTCACGAGTCTAGACGCTGAGTATTGGCCACTAGCGAACGCCGCGAACGATATGATCACCACAAATTTAAACATATTGCACTTTTTGATTGACGGCAGATGCGACTTACTGCCGTCCGTTAAACGGTCACAATGTATGTTAGGGAAGTCCTGCTACGAGTTTATATACAAGCATTAATACGTGACTTGTTATCCTAAAGAGTTGGTGCTAATATTGGCGATACGTGGTAGACGCCCTAGTACATTTTAATTGGTAAGCAACATTGTAATGAAAGACACTCGCTGTCTTATCGTGCCTAATTAGATAAGTCGATAAATATATTAAGAACTAGAGAATTTAATTATACTGTCAACAATACATGACAAAAATTATTCAAAGCAAAATATAAGAAAAAAGTATAGTCTAACCTTTACTCCTACCTAATTACCTTATTTTAAAGTAAAAGCCTCCTTAGCCCTGTTACATTTTTCATAGGATGAAACCCTCTAAGCCATTCTCGATCAAACATATTAAATAATCTGAAAAAAATTATAGACTTATGTATTCCTTTTACTTTAAACGAATAATAACAAAAGAAATAACTATTAATAATATGACGTAATATTATAAAGTGAATACAGTTTAACTTGTAATATTGATATTATAAAATAATGAATCCTTAAAAATAATCATTGGATTAAAATGTCCTTTTTATAATGAGCCATTAAAATGGTAACAAAAACAAACACAGCGTACTCCGAGAAATGTTACGATTTACTTAAACTAAATGTTACCTTTCACACCAACATTTTATTATATTGCTAAAAGAATTACTTTTACAGTTATAACTAATTTAAATATGACTATGTACTTATAATTTTATTAAAAAATGAAATAATACAATAACACTTGTACGCAAAACATTAAAATTACAATATGAAAGTAAAGAACATAGTTGTGTCATTTATTTCAAAATATTTTTTGATAGAATGTTTTTAGTACTTTTACAAATATGTGTGTTTAAAGAACATGATATTCTCTTTCTGTTTATTCTAGTCTTTTCTCTATCCAATATTTAATTTCTTATATATTTAACGACGAAACAAAACTTTAGGTACTGCATAAAATTTATTTTAAACAAAAGAGTAAATACCTACATGGAAAACGTTTGGGTTAAAAATGCATTTTAACCATTTAAGCTTTAGTTAACTATACATTTTTACAAGTTTTATAACCAAGAACGCAATAATTTGTGTTTATACTAGCCCATTTTATGCTTGTTTTCCTCCATTTTATGGTTTGACAAGCCTTTTTTGCAAGTGCAACACTCTTTGACAGATGAAAGCTCAAATGTCAAACAAGATCGTATCTACACACACACAACAATCATTTAATTCTCATACTACTGTTGATTCTAATAAGACATACAGAACAAATGATTTGTTTAAAATATAAGTTAATTTTGAATATGCCATTCAAACGAACTTTTATACTTCCAACTGTGTATATACTGTATAGTTCAAAAGTAAGGGTCCTTTCAGCTTAAGCTGTCATTTGTATAAGCAGGGTAAAATTATTTTTTGTCCTTATTGAAGATTTTTTAAAACATTTAAGAAGTCTATTAAAAGAATGTAGTAAAGAATTGTACATTTTTCTTTTCTTTGTTTTACTCCTATTATTTTTGTCCATGTTGGTGTGCAATAAAGAGAATATAAATAAATGTAGTAGAGAAGAGTATATTCAATTGTACTTATCAAATTGTATGTAGAAAGAGGTTATACTACGATGTCTGTTAACGTACAACAATTATATTTTTGTCACTTACGAAAGCTAAATAGATTTAACCTAAATGCTCTTGCCATAAAAAAACTATGATTTAAAAAAATGTTAGTTGAAAAATTGTTATTTACATTTAAGTTTAATATAAAGAATATTGTAGAGAAACTAGTACTAAACGTCATTATTCAATTGTGACAAAAAAATGCATATTTTAACAAAACAAAAACTATGAAAAATTATAGTTTCAAAACCCACACAGCTTTTTTACGATCTCAATAACAGTTTTAATGAGTTACTTCAGAAATTAATTTAAATAAGATATCTCTATGATAATGCGGCAACTTTAAAACTATTGGGAATAATATAACATAGTACTTTTACTGTGTATTTTGTACAAAACAATAATATATTTAGTATGCCTATCTTACTCATATTCTAAAATTTACCTAATTTTTTATTAGCTGAAACAGAATATGAAATTGAAATATTTAAACAAAAGCATGAAGCTATAATACCAAGTCAATAATTATTTAATACACTCTTAGCTTTATTACTGTAAAAAATCCGTTCAAGTTCAGCTTAAATAATCACATTAAACATTCTTTGTGCATTTTTCATAAATTAATCTACTACGTCGATAGAATTCTAGCAAAATATACAAGCAAAAAAAAACCTATCAAAATTCAGAGGTAAAGTTTTACTTGACATATTCATTTCGATCGTACTAAGTAGTATTGCTATATATAAAAAATAAATTTATTATTTGGGCCAATAAAGATCAGCTGTTCCGTTAAAAGATGGCGGTTAGCTGCTATTATTTTATAAACATATCACGATGTTAAGCATCCGTTTTGCGACATCTTTCACTCTAGTATATGAGTTGAATGATTAATTAATAAGAAATGTGCCCTGTATTACGTAAGGAATGAGAACGCAATTGTTGGTATCACTTTCTTTTATATAATGAAAAAAAAGATAGCGGTAATAGTTTGGCAGTAGTGAATTCTACATCAACTGACGAGGATTTTATAATTAAAGTTTTAACAGTGTAAATGTTTAAACCTAGTTTACTTAAGTAAATATTGTCTTATTTGTATTTTAATTTTGTAATACCTAAAATCTGTATATAAATAAACTAAGAACTTGAAGAATTTTCAAAAATATATATTTTTCTAATAAACTTAAGTGCTAAAAGCCTCATATCTCATGTACGTATGTATATACAAAAATGTACAATATCCCAAAAAAAATTATAGAAGGGAATCTAATAAAACACATTCTATAAACATGGAAATGGTTCCTACAAATTTTACATTTTTATGTATGTAGCCAAGCTACTAAATTAAGACTTTTCCGACATTGTACGAAAAAACTAACAAATAATTCCATAGCCACGCTGACTTCAAGATACTTATCTGAAAGTAGATTATCCGCTTTCGATTTTTTTATTTGTAGATTTGAATAAAAGTCCACAGTTTGAAAGGGAAATTACAGTTTCTAGCGCAGAAACTCACTGAAAGGAAATAATCTACTAGAGCTACTTAATGGAAGACTTCTGTAAAACACCAGATTAACATAATCAGCTAAGCTAGTAAAGCAAGCAAATATATTACTTTTTCTTACGACAATACAACAAAAGTATATATATTTTTTTTTTTTATTGATACAGTCTGAAAAAAAAAGTGAAAAACAATACTAAATATTATTAATAAAACATTTTTAAGAAAAGCATGAGTAGGTGTGTATATCTAACTATTATATTATTTAATTTATTTTTAATCAGTAATATTTTTAAGCTAATTTAAAGTTGGTTTAAATTATTGAGTCCCCTTAATAAATTTCATTAAAAGTATTATCTGTTTTGATTAGTGTTCGACAGACGGTAAACTATTTAGGCCGATTTCGCTCCAGTCGCTAGCTGAATATTAAATTATCCGACACTTTGACGAAGTTGTAAATCAATTAAGCCGCCATATTGATTTCCGATTAGTCCTGTAATTAAAGTAAAGAAACTGATTAACTCTTTGTTGGTAATGATAGTTTTTAATTCATATCCCACTACAGAAGGTAGTGACATGGAAAAACAATACTATAGATATAAAATAAGCTGTAACACACTTAGTACATATGTTGGTAAATTCATTAAACAATTATCATGAACATCTCTTTTAAATTTAAAACTTTTTCATTCACCTATCGCATGTCGCATTTTAACTGACGGAAATAATGCAAAATGCTCTCAGAAGAGCAGCGAGGTCTAATTTTGTTGCAACAGTAGAATATGTAAGAAATGTTTTCCTATTCATTCATGGAAATGATTTATATATATTTATGTTATCTATATGGTAATTTGACTCTTTCATTTATAAATTTACTTTAGCTTTTATAAAACACATTACTCGCTACACTTTTTCTATTTTATAAATATGTCAGTCAAGTATGTAAATCTTAAAGCAATTGATGGCTTTATTACAATTATTGTAGGTGGTAAAGCCTAACTGTGGTCAAGTTACTACAGCTTGAACTTGGTCTGCCTCGGCCGGGATATTACCACCTTCTCACAAAAGATCGGCTTGAAGTAATTTTTAATGGCTGCGTTTCGTCCGGCGAGTGAGAGATCCGGTAGCCCTTTGGCTACCGGATCTCTCACTCGAAAGGAAAGGGAAAGCCCTTTCCTACCCCTTCCCTCCCTTTCCCACTTTTTCCTACCCCTCTTCCCTAATTAGGGGTGGCAACACATCCGTGAAATCACGTTGCGGATGTCCATAAATGACAGTACTAACGCCATCAGGTAAGCCGTCTGCTCGGTTGCCCAATTAAAAAAAAATTGTCACGAATGATAAAAAGTCAATGGAATAGGATAAACAACCGTGAAAGGATGCACAATAACTTTCATATTACTATATAAACTACTTACCAACCTAATTTGGTATTTATTATCATGTTTATACTGTTTACTAAAAATAAATGTTTTAGTTTCGTATTACTTTATGTTTTCTAAACTTCCCTTTTCTTTGAAAAAAAATATAGCAATATAACTTTGTCTTTATGAAAATATTGTGTGCACATTTTGTTTTGTTAATATTAGTTAAAAATAATAGTGCCTATGGTTTAATATAATTTATCTATATAAAATATTTCTCGATAATATATCCATCCATAGATAATACGTCCATAGACGAAATGTCATTGTCAATCAGTCAGATTAGTTACCATCACTTTACTTTGAGCCTTGGGCATATTATTAAAAACCACATAATTTAGACTGATGTATTGTTGTTTACGGTTTAAACTTTGAAAAATAATTATGTGCTAACACCGTATATATGAAATTGTGACTTCTCTGAATAGTATTTATGTTTGTGTATGTGTTTTTATCGTGAAAGTATATGATGGCAAATAATCGTATCCCGTCCGGGCCCAACACACCTGGAAGCCAACAGACGCCTACTCAGCAGGGTATAAAGATATTCATTCAAAGAGATTATTCTGAAGGGACTGCAGTTAAATTCCAAACAAGATTCCCGCCCGAGCTAGAAGACAGAGTAAGTGAAAGTAAAGTGTAAGCTAACATAACGCCCTTTATGTTGTACTTTCGTGATGACAGTATTTTGTAGTAAGCAGCAAACATTAAAGTATAAAATATCTATCGTTTATATAGATTCCACCACAGAATTACAAAATAATAGTGTTTAAGTTTTAGAAATTGGATGATTTTTTTATAAAAAATGTCACTTAATATTACAGATAGATCGACAGACATTTGAGTTTACTATGGAACGACTCAATGAGCATTTTGAGATGGCCGAAACTGCAGACTGTAGTACATATTGTGAAGGATGCCTTGCCTGCCTCACTGCATACTTCATTTATATTTGTACGGAGACACACTATGAAAAGGTACTATACTTATTTCTCCTACCATTTTCTTAACACAATGTTCAAAGGGAACTATAGATATTTATCTATTTGAGTGGTTACAACTTTGTTAACTTTTCAATGGAACATTAACAGGTTCCATTTACAATGAACAAATTTACCTATAACATCATTAATGCCAAGGAATTAAACTAAGAAATTCCTCTCAACTTTTGTTACATCAAAATTGGAATCCATATCTGCATACTGACGGAATATGTACAAATCATGATGTATCGTGAGATCTTGGCATATGATATTATTAATCTTATCCAAAATATTTGGAGCTTAAATTTATATGTGAAATTAATTATATGTGGATATCTCACAAAACAAATTAAAATAGGAGAAAGTAGAATTTCTTGCATAAAGTTAGATTCTTTCATACTCTTATACAGCTCTAATAATTTTATGGCAGTGGCAATTTTTATTGGATTGAAGATAAGATTATTAAGATTCCATACATCTATATATATGAATCTATCCACTAGTAGTTTGTAGTATACATAACTTACTATGATAGTAGAAAAAATAATAGTGCTACTTATTATTTGTATATTAATATTTCTAATTTGATTAATTAGTAAATTATTAAGTTTAAAATTAAAAATTATTAGCTTAACAATAGTTTTGTTACACACTTGGCTGCTCAGAAAGAATTTTTCTTTTTTAAATATGATGTTTTTGAATAAGAGAAAAAATTATTGTTTCAATAAGATCTTTATTCTAGAGAATCTTTGAAAAATCTCTATAAGCATAATAAAAAGTGATACCATATGATTTATTTTTTTATTAAATACATGTACAATTATCTGTTACAGCACCTAAGAAAAATATCAAAGTTCATTGCAACACAGAACGAAAGGGTATACAATCCTAGAGGAATTCACATAACGGATCCCATTCTACGAGGATTGAGAGTTATCGAGATAACGATAATAGATGTACCAAACTGTCAAAGTCCGACCGGTAATTCAACGTCGAGTCAGTTACGACACACTTGACCACCACACGAAAACAGGGAGTTCTTTATGTAACAATTATCATATTGGTTTTAATATTATGGTGCTTTATTACTAACATTCATTGACACATATATAATGTGAATATTTAACATTAAGTAATTAATAATTGTATATAATTCACTGTAATTAAAGCACCTATACTTTATTAAAACCAATATATATGTTTGAATTTAGACTTAATAAGGGACTCCCTCTGCCAAAATGCTCTTCCATGAGTTATGGGGTTATATATAAGAAGGTAATCCATTGATTGTTAGTATCAGGGTTGCGTATATCAAAATTAACATCATTAATAAGTATTATAAATTAAAATTGCCTTTAAGATTGGTGAATATCGGAATCGCTGCCAAATTCATATATTTTGGCTGTGTGAAACAAAATTAAAAACGGCATATAGCTTTACAGCCCTAATATTTTATAATGACCAGCATTTCGTATAGATGATTATAAATTATAATTATCTAGCATAACCAGGTTAGAATTAAGTTCAGAATTTTTTACATTTACATATATAATTATGTTAGAAAGATTATGAAACTAATGAAGTTTTTACTTGTTATTCTTTCATACATTTTTGTTTGCAAATTACTGTCAAAGTTAGTGATTGAAATCATAATATTTATATAGAATACTTCAAAATTTCTTGTACTCTTAAAATCAGAATGTATGAAAGCAATATCAGTATGCTTTAGTAGTTTCATTCCAATCTTCTTTAGTTAAATTAATAATTTAAATAAGATATTTGTTAAACATCTGTGCAGATTTCTGTATGGTGTACTATATGTAAACATTATCGAGGCATTATATACTGTGTAATTAATGCAAAAATTCATAAAAAAAAATTGAATGAAACCACATTTTAATACATTTGTGTTTTCAAAAAAAATAGGCAAATTCATATTAAATATGTAAGTATATCAATTGAAACTGTTACTTATATGACACAAGTTATATATATGAATATTATTTAACCATTTATTGACAACAATAACTAACTGCATTTTGATATGATCAACAATTAATTATTCTATGGTTTAGGTAAGTTTTTCATCAAAAAGGTTTATTTGAAGTGTGTACAGATTATATAAAAAAATAAACAACCACAGATAACAAACTTCAAGTCTATCATATTGTGTTTAGTGATGTAATTAGGCAGTCAGCTTAATGAGAATATTTTTTAATTTTACATAATTGCTAATTATAATATTACATAATTATATTTTTTATTTCTTTTCAAACAACTCATATATCATTTATTACTTATTAAAAGTATTATATTTTTTATTTGCATTTTTATTTTTGAAAATCATAAAAAATTTACAGTCTGTTATAAGGTGCACCTTGCCTGACACTACTAAAAATAAAATATATTCTCTGAGACTATGCTTGAAATAAATACACACACACTATGGAATTCTTGAAATACTTATATTAGTGTATATACACACATATGAAAGAGAACATTCTAGAAAAAATAATTAATTCTAAAACATATATTTTATCAGATTGCATTCAGTTAATTCTAACTTTATTTTGTTCTTTATTATAGGCTACTTGTATAATATATCAAGTCTTACAGACAGTATATGTATCTTCATATATTTTTGTCTTATTATTAATTTTATCATTATTCTTTATACGCGTAGATCTTAGTCGGCATTTATTAAATAGTTTAAATTATGTAATGTTTTAATTTAAAATACGTATTTTAATTATTTCCACGTAGAATTATTTAAAACAGTTTAAATATTAATATATTGTATTGGAATTAGTTTAAATAACTGTTCTTTTATTAATGCTAGCGTATACGATGTGATTTATATTTTATAATGGAAAAGAAATAATTCAAATTGTTTTCCAAAGCTTTAAAGGTTGTAATTGTGACATTTCTGGCGTGTGTCACACACATTCTATGACATATTATTATTGACGTCACATAAAGCATAGAGAATAGAGTTGATTTCAGAATATAAATGTAAAAATGCTTTTGCATATATTGCTCATAAGCCGCTCATAATAATGTCATTAAAATGACAGTTGAAATTTATTGATTTTTTAACAATGTTTTGTATGGCAGTGTTCGTGCATTGTTCTTGTTGAATTATATATTGTAGCGTGGTTGCACACGATTGAATGTTAAGGTTGTATCACTGTAAATCCTATAATAAGTTGTAGATATATTGTAAAATTTATTATGACTTGTATAAATAAAAAAATGTATTTATTTTGTGTTTTTTTGTCTATGCCAATAGCATAAATTGCTATAACAAATATACAGGGTGACTGGTGAATTACTATTGATACTTGAGGACGTGATATTTGACGATCATATATGACAAAATAAAAATTAATATAACATAAATATTAATAAACTTCTAAGTAAAGTTAACCAAAAGTTATGTAATTAATTACGCATCGTGTGAACACCCTACAGATTAGGTATACACACACACCCACACATACGCGTGCGGCGGCGTTGTGTTATATCAGCACGCCGCCGCACGCGTCCACACTTAGAACACTTGGTACGTGTCAACACTTTATTTATTTATACGGAAATTTTGTCAAAAATTAAGTGCCTGCTTTTTTTACATAATTCGAATGAGAATCATGGACCGAGTATTCTCCTAAAATATTGATAGTAATTCACCAGTCACCCTGTATAATACGAGAGACATTACAGTTCCTATGCCGAATTTTCTGTATTTTTAATATGAAAAATTATGTTTTAAATATCGACTAGGTACTCATTCTATTGAAATGTTTAATATTTATCTTTGAGGTATGTATCTAATTTAATTATTAAAAGTAGTAACAATACTCTTAAAATTATTAAGAACATCATAATATTATGTAATATAGTATAATTAACTAGCAGGTGATAAAGCAGTTACTGATCTTATTACTACACTTTAGGTCAATTAGTTGTCCTCGAAAATATTAAGAGTAATAAAATTAAGATTAAGTACTGGTCATAAAATCAACTCTAGAGAGTCCGGTAAGCTTTGATATGACGAAGAAATTTCTTTAGACGAAAAATCCTTTTTCTGGTTTTTGAGAAATTGTATTTCTACCTTTTCTTATATTTTAGGGTCATTAAGCCGCTATCGGTACGTCCACACAAACAGAATATGATGTAACAGATTTCTCTATCATAAAAATTATCTCAAATTATTATTAACACTAGCAAAGATGTTTCAGGAATAATTATACGGCAATTGGTATCACTTTTCGAATCTCAAATTCGATATCATCCCATAATTCTTGGAGGACCCTCGTAAATCGTAAACATAACGTTTTATAGTATCTAATTACGTCATGTTATTACGTTGACGTTGTCAAGGGGCGTTGCTGCATAAGAACGCAAGTCATAAGATTTAACCGACCGAATAACGGAATAACATTAATATAATATTATTATTTATAGATTTTAATGTCTATGGTCATTATAAAATTGTAATAATGATTCTAATTTCAAATTTTATTGATGTTTAATATTTTTTAATCGATTATATATAAAAAGCCAATAAATATTAGAGCATTCAGATAAGATAATTAGCTGTCTTTGATTCTGATAAATAGATTCTATTGAGAATTTCCTGATAAATATACAGTGATTCACTGTAAATCAATCAATAAAATAATAAAAAAATCACGAGTTTGAACTAGATAAATGTTAAATTCATACACATAAGAGATTTTTTTAAACATTATCTTTTGGTAACGTTATGGATTTGTGATGATGTACGTAAGTACAATCTACAGTTCAAAGTTTCAGCAGTTCAAAGTAAGCATAAACTATCTTAACATTTTAAACTATTTTTAAATTTCCAATAAAGTAAATCTGACCAAATATTTGACTGTATCACCAGAACACAAAAGTTATACCATTCAATCTTATAATTATATTGTTAATAATAAGCCAAAAGTGTGTAAGTTAGTAAATTTTCTATTCAGTACCTACTGATTTAGAGTATTAAAAGAAATGTATATTACGAGTCTACCGTAGAAACTGGTAAAGAGTATGCAATAAAATGACTACCTGAGTTCTACTGTCATTATCAAATAAGGAACAAAATAAAGAATTATTTTATTATTTAAAAGGCCGGGCTGATTCAATCCAATATTTTTATTTAAATATAAAAACAAAATTTCACACATCAAAACTGTTTATTTCAAAAACTTCTTTAAATTTTTTAGCGGTCACTATTTTCTGATCAAAAAAGACGCAATTTCATTGGAACCGGACGATAGCTATGTACACAGAAAGTTTCAACAAAATTTTATGTGGGATAGACTAACAAACACATACAGTACACTCACGCACAAAAACTATTCAGTAAAAAATATTAAAAAAAGTTTTTAATTAGCAATTAGTCATAGGTAGGTATATATAAAATATTTTTTTCGAACTTGATTTATTAAGGCCCTCTTAATTTATTTTATTAATTAATTCCATACATATTATTTAAATTATAATAAAGATTTATTAAATATTTCAAGAGGTCGGTTGATTGAGAGGATTTAAACAGAAAATATATTACACTCAGTTTTTAAATTAGCAATTAGTCATATGTGTAAAATATTTTTTTCGAACTTTTTACTAAGGCTCTCTGAATTAATTTTGTTAATTAATTCCATAATACTTATTATTTAAATTAACATAAAGATTTATCAAATATTTCAAGAGGTCGGTTGATTGAGAGGATTTAAACACTACTTAATATTATTACTGTATATCGGAAGTAACTGTACATTAATTCAACGTCACAAATTGATTTGACATCTCGTTGTAGGAGTCTACCCTTTGACATTTAACCTCCCGGCTCGTCACGTGTATATTGACATTTAAACTAAATGCGTTAGAGGTAACATTGCATAAGTTTTGCAAACTTTAATTACTTCCAATAGAGCTATAAATAGTTTGAATGGTCTAAAATAGATTTAATAGTAACTTTTAGATGTTTTATTAAATAATT